ATTCTGAAGTTGTAATGCTTGATCCACGTGAAACAAAATTTTTTCAAGAATTAATTGGATGTTATTTATATCCATTAGTTGAAGATAAAGATCATCAAAAACAAATGGTTCGTGATCTTAAATCATTACGTAATAATGGTTGTTTTATATTTTTTATGATAAATACATTATGGCTTGTTATTATATTTTCATTTCAACTTGTATCAGAACGTATACGTGATTATGTATTTATACCAATAAAACGTTTACATAATGAACCATTACGTTTTGAACCACTTGGTTTAGCTTTTTTAATTTTTTTTGCAACTATTTTACTTATACAATTTGTATCAATGTTATGGCATCGTTATGGAACATTATTACATTTATTAGCATCAACTGATTTAAAAATTTGTCAACGAAATAATGGAAAAAATAATCGTCATCATCGACGTGGAGATTTTACAACAGATAATGTTGAAGATGCTGTTGAACAAGTTAAAGTTTTACAACAATTAAAAGGTTTTGATGAAGAAGATTTACCTGAACCTGATTATGATAATGATGATGATAATAATGATCAAGATAATAAACAAGCATCAGAACCTGATTTATCAACAACAGGACTTATTTATAATGGTGGTAATCGATATATAAGAAATTCTGCAAATACATCACAACAATGGAGTGATACAGCTAAAGTAAATGATATGCAAAGAAATTTAGATACAACTGATCATAGTGAAATAAGTCAAATATGTGGATATGCATCAGGTTCAGTTAAAACATATGGAAGTAATTATGAAGCTATAAAACGACGTCAAATATCAAATAAACGTCATTTATATAATAAATCACTTGATCATGTTTTTAAATCACGTTATCAAGCATTAACACAAAATAAAAATCAACAACAACAACAACAACAACATCATCAACAACAATCAAATAAAAATATACGAATTAAATTAAGTGATGTTTTTCAACAACAACAACAACAATTAGGTTTACCAAGGACTAGACGAACCTCAAATGAATTAACAGTACGAGATAATGTTACTACTGGAAATATTCAACAACCAACAGCAATTACAAAAAAACATCGAAGGAAATCAAAAGATCGACATTTAGAACATTTGTAGTGTGTATGTGTATGTGTGCGTGTGTGTGTGTGTGTATAATATCTTTCGATTTCTTTTTCATTTTAAAACTTTATGTTCATATTTATAAGCACAAGACAATATTATATATATATGGAAAAAATTTACATTGACATTATCAAACAAAAACAAAGACTTTCCACTTAAATTATAAATAAACATTTGTTCATGAGCTAGATTTTTTTTTACTGCCAATAGTTTCATATTACAACTAATGTTTCAAAATATATGCATACAAATCCCATGTAATAATTGATTATGTATTGCACTAGAATTTTAATACGATCGGTAAGTGATACAAGAAAAATAAGTTTATTTCTTGCTATGCGGCTAGAAGATATGAAAAGAAAAAAAATATTATATGTATATTTCTCAAAAATGAACTTTGAATGTCTATGATTTGTACGAAAACCTAAAAATTATATTTATATATGAATTTTGTAATCAAATGTTTTAGAAACTCAGCATTACCAGCCATCGGTTACTGACATATGGAAAGTCTACCATTGAAAAAAATACATTCGGTAATGTGTAAAATAGCAATATTTCTATTTGTGATTAGTCTTGAATGTTCTAAAAGCGTCAAATCTTTTCTAGAATGATCAACACGAAAAGTTCTGTAAAATGTCAATAGAACAAATTTGTATTTAAATAAACATTAATGAGTAGAAAAAGAGGTAACGTCTCCAATAAGGATGTGAATGAGAATCGTGAGGGTCTTCTCTTACTCTACCCACTCTCCCAACATTGAGCCCAGAGACGCATCCACATGCTGCTGTTTATACGCCGTTTGTTTAGTAGTTCTATTCGTAGTCTGTCAATTTCGAGTCCAATGTTAATTTTCTTGTCGAGAATGATCAGAAAAGATCCACTACAGATTCTGCTATCTTATAATCAATCTTAAGATATGTAAATTTTCTACGCATTTCTCAGCGATGTTCTCAAGTATTAAAAATTGGTCAATTTCAGATTTTTGATATTGAGAAAATATCTGCCAACATGATTGTTCGAAAAGTAAGGACACGTGCAAGTTGTACTTTTTCATGAACTACAACATGTTGTATGAAAACAGGATATGGGTGTGGATGTGGATGTGTGAGAATCATCTTGATGGACCCACATCGTGTCTTTATTAATTGATCATCGCAATCCAATCTGTTTATGATCTTTTAAAATTTAAATTCACAAGTTTATCTGTTCACTGACTTGATCTTTCAAAGTATCCCAATTTCTCTCACTACTACACAACATTTCGGCGTATGCTGCCTTAGTTGATTTATCCATTTTAATGCAATGGAACCTTCTTCTTATTGCAGTTGAAAATTGAAAATATATTCTTGCTTTTGTTAACACATTACTCAATCTACGATCGTTGACTTATCAATAGAAAAATCAACAATCATTAAAATGTGCTAATCGATTGCGCGATTTCAAAAATATATATAAAATTTTTATTTCCAATCATCATCATCGAACAGTGATGAACTTGTGGAGTGATTTCAAACATAGTTTATTACCTAGATGACTTAATTGATCTTCATAGATAAAAGAGCATACATTCAACATTCATATGATTGCCAGGAGGCAACATTTCGTTATCCTTTTCATCTATCAATCAAAGTCAAAAATGAATAACAAAGGAAATTTTTGACGCAATCATATATTGTTAAAATTAATTTTTCTAGCTTGATAGTCAGTGAACGAGATTTTAAAAACATCCAGTCTTCGCTTGTTTTTGTTTTAATTCATAATTCGTCTCAATTATTGTTGAGAAAATAGAAATACAAAAATAAGATGCAGGGTTATATATACTCCTGGAAATAATAGTTGCAGTATATATTTTAAACATATCATTTACATATTTTAAAAGCTCTCGAAATTTTCCCTCACTCCATATGTTTATATTTTAGTTTGCACTTATATACCAGAAAATAAATCGAATGCAATGAAGATACTCTCATCACTAGATTATCACGGACTAGATTTTGTCACTATTCTCTTGATTAATTTTTAAAATTTTTCATCATTATAGAATTGCCTTGCATTTATTTGTTGAAAAATAATTTGAGTATACTGAACGTAATCCTTAATTAACAAATACCAAAAATCTGCATTTTTTTTTTGCTATTTTATTTTTCTATTTAAATTGTTATTAATATAGAAATGACTTTTTGCAAAACCGTTCTAGACCATAACCTATCAAAAATTTTTCGAGTTTAGACTGCTGTGTAAATGCCTATTCAAATATGTCATGCGAGTAGCACATAACCAACGATATGTTATTGCTGAATATATCTTTGAGAAGTGATCGTCTAAAAAATAGTATCTTTATACGGAATGTAGGATATATATAACTTTAAAATAAACGAAATATCTATTTAAAACATCTGAAGACCTTTACTTATTAGTACTATTGAGAGTGTGACTCTTCTATAAAACATTATATGGGTAAAATCATTCGTTAGCGACGTGACATCGTAAACTTGGAGTATGCATATCTCGGCACTATCAACTAGTTTAGGTGTGATTTTTGAATGGTGTACGAGTCTCTATTTACTCTAGATACTATGAAAAAAACAACACTCTAGAGCTTTGTTTAGAGGAGTTATTAACGAAAAACTAGCGTTAGCGACGTGACACCAAAAAGGACATCAAAAGTCACTTGATATACTTTGGTTTTTAAAAATTTTTAAGTGTTGCACAATTGTCAAAAACTTAATACGCGATACTAGACACCACTCCTAAGGCCACCAAATCCCAGTGTAAAATTATTTTGAGAATGTTTAGGTTTTTAAAAAAATAAAATCTATTTGGCGTTAGCGACGTGACAATTTGTTAGCGACGTGACTGAGTACGACTACACTACTGATCGAATGCTCTGGTAACGAACTGAAAAGTTCGAAATCGATTCCAAGGGGCTCATATTAATGGTAGGAGGTCCTAGAATAATACTAAGACAAACATTTCCATTTCCGCTCTGTCTAAGGGCTCTGAAAGGTCGATTTTTTGGAAGGAACTTTTTGAAGTCCGATCTCGATGAAAATTTTACCATATATGCGGCTCATACCCTAGAGCCAATCCTGAAGTTTTCAAGTTTTTTCCTCTTTCGGTTCTCGAGATATTCGCTAATTACTTCTTAATTAGTTAATTATTAATTAATTAATTAATTAATTAATAATCATATGAAAGAGCAGACAATTTTACATAAGCCTATGCAAAAACAATTCACTCAAAACATCTATACTGATAGAGAATTGCATTCAAATGCAATGGGGGAATGTCCCGTTTTCGCTGATTTTACCCATATAAAGAAATATACGTAATTTACTTGAAGCAAAAGAAAATGTATTCCACGAGAATATTAGAATTAAGATGGATCAACATTATCCGAAATATTAGTCAGAAAATTATTAAAGGCCAAAAGCTTTCAAATAAAGAATGATAGAGAAGTTTATTTGTTATCAGAATGTATAACTACTTTTGCAAAAAGTCATTCCTATATTAATAACAATTTAAACAGAAAAATAAAATAGCAAAAAAAAATGCAGGTTTGTGACATTTGTCAATTAAGGTTATGTTCAGTGTACTCAAATTATTTTTCAACAAATAAAATGCAAGGCAATAGATAAATATATAGAATGATAGACAATTTCAAGTTCTATCAGAATATATAATTATCTTTTTAGAAAGATACTTCTATAAGGCGCAAACTAAAATATAATCATACGGGCTGATGGAAAAGTTCGAGGACTTCTAGAATATGTAAATACTTTTTCCAGATTATATATGTAATAATGAGATTAAATATATCGCAAAAAAGAGTTCAATGAAAAAAAAAGGTCAGTTGATAAGAGTAGGTACTTAATGTTTTGACCACGCGGTTTTTAACATGATGTTACCGCAAGCAATTCGAGCACCCGCATTTCTACAAAAGAAATATAATGTCAGTTGAAGATCAAATAGAGTAGATCATACCCAGTAGTGTTACTGTCCGAAAAACCACCCATACCACCGTCATCTCGCATTGCATGCAGAACAATGGTTCGATTAACAATCGATTGTGTCGCATTATATAGTTGAATAATCGAATCTCGAATGTTGATGTTGATCGTGCCGTCATTAGCAGAAGTCACATTTCCAAGATCTCCAACATGTCGGTTCATAATATCTGCAGTGATTGAACCATGTGTCGTACCTGAAAGAGAAAATGATGGATGAATTATTCATGATGTTTGTCAACAATCAAGACTAAACTCACCGTAAGGATTGAAGTGAGGTCCAGCCGCTGTACAGTTGAGTTCGCCGTTTACTAGTGGATCTCTGTGTACGTGAAAGCCCTAAAGTGAAAATGGGGACACTGTACTAGGATCGACAATGATGATCTACTCATGATTGAGTAATTTCAGATACTGATGTTTTGATCTTTCAATTATTGTGCAAGCACTAATATTATATAGTATGGAGAGAGAGAGTAAAGTAGGAGTCCTGCAAACGAAAACCAGCTTCGATTTCACTTTTAAATGTTGCAAATTCTAAAGCTGAGTTTTTCAAACTTACATGAACAGTGTTGGCTGTCATATTCCAGAATTTACCCTTGATGATGACTGCAGAGTCGCTGTCGTTCTGTATGAATTTCAAGTAGCCGACACAAATGTTACTGGAAGCTGAATGGACCTTAGCTTTCGCCATCATGATACTCTGTGCATTGTGGATGAATAACAATGAAATGACAGCAAGAAGTACGAGCATTTTGTCGTGATTTTCTTCACAAATAATCTAATAAGACAGAGTTAAATGCTTAAACGATATATGATCTAATAAGACCTTTGCAGACTTGTTGAAACATTTCTCTTATGAGAAGCTATACAAGAGACGGGAATCAGAATACTAATATTTCTAGACTCTGTACGACCTTACTCAAGTAGAATGGTTAAGAATTCTATTTAATCTTGAGAAATAGATATTTATCATTAAATTGATTTAATGTGAAAAGTGACTCCTTCTAACATCTTCGTCGCTTGCATAAAGATTCTCACTGATAGCTGAAATGATTAAAATTCTGCTAATCTATGCTCAATAATATGACTCACAACAGGGAGTTACCGTCAGCCGTTTTCTTTGTACATGGTGTTCGACAAGTTATGGAGGCTATGAAAAGAAATCTACCTTATTCTACAAGGAGAATTTCCCTAATAAAACTGATATGTAATGAAGAAATGACATTCTGATAAAATTCTCATAACCACTGCCTGTCTCTGTGTTTATCAGAACCCTCTATATATATAAGACTTAACGCATTAATTCCAGTTTTCATATTGACGATCATAAATATATGCAAATGCATATTGATTAATTTAAATCCGTCTAATCGAGCGTTCGAAGAAATATTAAAAAAAACAAAATCATGTAATAAAAGTATACATTCATTGATGGCACTTGAGAGTACACTCTTGAGGGCTATTCAGCCATTCTCTAATCAATCCAGATCGATTAGCAATTAAAAGTACAAACGATCGATGCACTTGTCATTCATGGAATTGATGAAAGTTGTTATGCTATGGAAGTCGATGATTCGAAAAAGATATTTATTGAGAAATCTCATCCAATCTGATCATATCTTGCCATCTTATTGACACTCACGTCTGGTATACAAGTTATAATTATTCATCAGTGCACGTATGCATAAAAACTTATACATACATGAGAGTATCGTACAAAAATACCGTCAGGTCACAAAAGTGCATTCAGTATTATTGTTGCTGCGCAATCTCATTGCAAAATGAAAGTCGTATTACGAAACTAATTCTATCTCCCATACAAACACGTAATATTTTCAAAGAGAGCAAGTATTCGGTGACTTATTTTATCGACAAACATCGATGCCAAAGAGTTTTGTCTATGATTTGGGTAAGGTGAGGGTGTGAGTGGATACCCCACATCCATATCTACACCCACACCCACTCACACCCACTCATACACACACCCATACCCACCCTCACCCTATGACTTTTCGTTCGAAAGTTATAAGCTTTTTTCCAGGTGCCTTCTTTTAAAATTCCGATAGTAGAAACGAACAAATTTTACGAGAGTTTTTCTTCTCTATAGGCCGTCTTTAGGACGATACCGATTATTTGGAGTATATTTCTGTGTTAAATCTTGCAAGTCTTTGTCAAATTTTGGTGTATGTTGTTCAGATTTTCCGTGTATAACACTGTTAACAAAATTGCGTTCTTGACTATTCAGCATTGTTCTATTTCGATTGTCATCCATTTGACGAATTTGTGCAGC